ATTAGCTGCATGTTTAGCAGAAATTTGCATAAGATATGCTGGATGACGGCGAAGAGGTGACTGTACAAAAAGGCATTTCAATTTTGTTGGAAAAAATTGGAATTTTATTTTGGACCAAAAGCCGCGACTTTTAGACCGATCTTTGACCTCAGAGTGGTTCTTATCTTATCAATTTGTAGTGATTTCTGATTATTCGGAGGGCACAATTCTCAAGAAGAGCTAACTGGTCCGTTAACACCTGCGCCCGATTACTACTTGGTGCTATTATATTCATTTTACCCATTTTAAGCATGTGTAGCAAAAATGTCAACGAGATAGAATTGATATTTTCTTGAATCATCTCCTTCTGTAGGACTTTCACGTGAAAATGAAACTTTGTTCCATGTATCCAAATTGTGACTGTGTCTTCGACTTTGACATTCAATGTAAAATTACCATTATATAGTGCTTTTTGTGGGAGAAGTGCAAAATTTTTCTTATCACAGACAATTCTTCCGATACATTAGCCAGTGCTGTACTTTCTACCTAACCAACTCCTGCTTACTAAGTACACTATAGTTCCACGATGAACTGTTTTCCACTACTGCTTTTAATAACAACCAGTGTACTAAGCTACAAAATGGCTCTCTTCGTTCCTGGAATGGCAAACAGTCAGGTTAGAAATTTAAAAGAACTGATCAATTAAATGCGGAAATTATACAGATTTTATACAATGCACGAGTGTCAGAAATCTTGGCGAAAGCAGGACATGACGTCACCATGATCATGATTAACTCTGTGGAGGAATTCGAAAACAATGTGAAGGTTATGGAAAAAGTCAAAAGTATGTAAGTGTGAACCTTTCTTAATCATGTGTTCTTTTATCTGACTTCAAATATAGCGTGATGACTCCATGTGAAGTATGCATGTACGTACAATTGCGTAGATTCCCGGTGCGCCTGCAGAAGCAGCAGCATCTAGATGTGAACAACGTGCAAAAAGTTTCAAAATATCACTGTTTTTCTTTGCTCATT